AAAGTCTAACTTCGATCAGTGATTAGGCAAGCATTCAGCATTAATATTGCAGAAATATTGCGATGAGGCGTCTGGAGAATATTTTTGGGAGGTTCGAGGCACGAATAACGGTAAACCAATGAGATTGAGATGCAAAAAAGTGGTACTCGCCTGCGGTAAAAATCACTACAGAACGCTGGACGTGAGTTGAACATTTTCATCGCATTGTCATGATCTACATAAGACATGAATGTATCTCTAAACGTAGCCGAAGCGAGACTTTCATTTGTCAGACGCTGCTGTGTCTCGTGATCAATTTTGACTGATTCGTTTCGTTCATTTTCCGTTTCCACAGACCTTTTCATTTTTTCGACCCTTCTTTGTTTCCTGTTGAGCGTTGCTTCTTCAGCATTCTCATCTGATGTGGATAATCTTGTAAAATCGGCTTCATCCCTATTATTAGTTGGAGTAAATCCTGATTAGGAGATACTAGCTGGAATTGTAAATTGTGTCGAATGAACAAATATCTGGAACTTATAAAAAAAGTTTTTTAGGTTGAAGGAGAAGAGGAAGAGCCACGTTTGGTGTACGACGTGACAGCGTTGAAAGTTGTTTTATCACGTCAAGATGATATTGATGGATGTTGCGCGTCAACCAAGCAACCAACCGAAACGAAGCGAGTTATCGTTATCGGTGAGGGTATCTCAGCTGCAGATGCCATACTGCATTGCCTTTCGATTGGAGTGCCCGTTTTGCATGTGATGAGGCGCAACGAAAAACAAATGAGACGTTAGTGAAACATTCATATTGTTCATTATTTGAAACATCCAAATTACTTGCGACGTCCTATGAGTTTGAGCNAACCGATCATTTAAAAGTGAATTTCTCTAGCACACTTCATCTTTGCAGTGCATTATATCGGCTAAGTTTTGTTGGCTGATTATGAGATGGTTCCACTTCATCAAACTCAATTATAACTGAAGAGCAAGAGTTTTTAACGTTGAGTAACGCTACCAATTTTGATTTCATGAATGAAAAAAAATAACAGCTTAGTTTTTCGTCCTCGAATCATTCGAGTCTGTCAACTGATAGATGCTGACAAGAAAGGAGATCACAGAATTAATATTGTTCCTCTCGAATCAGATTGTTTAGTGAGTCGACGTGCAGTCTGTTTTGTGTAGTTTTACTTTAAATTATTTTCACTTTAATTAGCAACATCAAAACGGCAACACTTCTGTCAGAGGCCGCTGATTGCATTCAAAAGTTCATTCATTAAAGAACATTTTCTTGAATTGGAAAATTGGAGAAAAAATAGCGTTTTTGCTTCTTCCAATGGCGAATCAGTGAGAAACGTCAGTTGCATCAATTCATCATACTCACCGAATGTCTCTCGCATATTGCGATTTTTCGATTTGAATTTGATGAAGAGGGGCCTGAAAAACTCGGTAAAACCATAATCATCAAAGCTCTCCACTTATAATACGATAACAGTTTGTGAACATTTCTAGATGATTTTCGCTCGTCGTTCTTGAAAGAATGAATGTGCAACGGAAAGCTAAAAGAGTGACTGCAACGTTTGAAGTCCGTCTGCGTTCACAATGGAGTAAATTTCAGAGTTGCTCATCTCGCGATTATCCGCATCAATGTATCCAGAATATGCACGGATTTATCGCCTAATGACAGGTCGACTTCATGATGCACTCTATACACGCGCTACAAGCACCATTGTAACATCGATTAAGCATGGTTTCGTGCATCTGAAATCTGTTACTGGCTGTGAGAGAAAGGTAGGTGTACTCGTATTGCGATTTTTGCTCACGAATGATCAATTGCTTCTTCAAATATGTCTTCAAATTCAAATATTTTTTCGAATATGATTGATTGTTTCTTCAAAAAAAAAAACAACCATCCAATGCATTCATTAGAATTACTTATTCGTTTAGAAGCGCAAAGTGAGCTGTAAATTCGACATTATCATTATTTTCTATAAGCGTATTCGCATGTTCCTGAAATAAGTGTGAACCTTATTTGTTAGGAATGCTT